CAGCACCTGGCAGAGAATTGCTGCTTCAGCGTCACAAGGTTAATTGTGCAGGTGCCCGTCCTCCCCTCAGTGCCAGTATGGGGAAGCACCCCGGCCCTGCATCACTGCTCTGGGGGCTGCCCCCCATACCACCTCCTGCAACCAGTGTTGCCAGGTCTCAAATATGAAGTTTTGGTATTGGAAGCTCAAAATTATTGTATTTGCTGAAAAACTATGATATGCTGAAAAAGAAATATGCAGATAAATATGCAAGTGAGAATGCAAATAAACCATTTTCTTTTTACTTTGTATTGCTCACTGTAACTTGCCAGTGAGTGAGAACTGGGCCACCACAATTGAAGTATTTCTTTATTCTGAGGCAAGCAGTCATAAGAAAGTGTTGATAAGAAACCCAAGAGTCAGTTATGCTTACCTGCAGGGGAAATACCATGATTATGATGATAGCAGGGGAAATACTTTAAATGAAATAATACAATTAAAATGGCACTGTGTAGTACAGGGTTGCACCCTTGTCTTTTTGTAGACAGGACTCCCTATGACAGCCTCATGGTTAGCTTCCCAGTGGCCAGCTTGCAGTGGGAGGATCTGAGTTACACGATGACTTTTATGGAAGTGGGGGACTCCTCCTTAGCTTGCCCCTGAAGCCTTACAGCTAAGGGCAAACCAGACTCAGGGGCATCTGAACCCCAAGCCTCCAGGTGTGGGCCTGCACATAGGATGCCGGCCAAAGGATTTGGAAACATCTAAAGCCCCAAGCAGGGGTGGAGGATGTTTGCCGGTAGTAGGGCCACATTTGGTTCTTGATGACTCACAGATTTGGAATGGATTTAGCAGATTTGACTTGGAACATGAAACCATTTCCTTAAAAACAACCGCCTCCCACCCAAAAAAAAGTCAGTCAAGGTTTCCTGAGCATGACTACGTGGCATCAATCACCTGCTTCAAAATTATCGTATATTTTGAGCATTTTTTCTATTATTCACCATGCATCCTTCAAGGGAGAAAACTATGGTACAAATACGTTAATTACTGTACACCTGGCAACACCACCTACAACACTAGGACGAGACACGTGCTCTTGCGGGGGTGGACAGCCTCTGAGAGCGCCAGCTCTGGGAGTCGCTGGATCATGCCCGCCCCGCTCAGCTCGGCCAGGATCTGCAGCGCGCAGGCCACACGGGGACACCGCAGTGCCTCCTCGCACCATGTGCGCATGCGCAGAAAAGAGCGCGGAGGAGAAGCATGCACCCCTCCCTCCTAAGCTCAGCCTGCAGTAGCCTCACCACAGGGTTCTTACGGCGCGCGAGACGGCCCAATCTCCTTCGAGCTCGGCACCAGCTCAGCACCCAGTTCACCCCCCGCCCCCCAGCTGCAACTTCTGAGGGGGGGCG